GGGGGGGGGGGTACCATCCTACTTTGAAGCTCTCTGGTATCCCCACCTTTACTTTTATCGTAAGTCTAACACATAGAATGGATAACATATAGATCAATCTACAATACAACATAAAATTTTTGGCGAATGTCACGTGGTTATAATGCCACGCCCCTTTGAGGTCTGAGTCGAAAATCTGCTGTTGCCGGCATTTTTTCGTGAAAGTACATAATACGCGCGCTTAAATAGAATAATGATAGTGCGTATTAGTGCCTTGCACTGAACAGAGTTTCACCAAAATCGCAAAGACCCAATTCGAGAAATTCAGCGGTTTCCAAATTTAGGTCATAATTTATGCGAAAATGATAAGCAAGGCTTTACACGGATTATATCTAATAAACTATGAGATTCATCTCTGTATTTTGGGCAACGTTATAAGAGATGGGTCCTTGCAAGTCAGCAAAACGCTTTAGGGCCTTGTAAATGCGCGCCATTTCGAGCAAAGCAAACATATAGAAATTATAGTTTTCGCTATTTATTGACGTTTGTCAACGTTTAAGATACCTTCATACGAAAAAAGCATTTTCTTAAAAATTCGAAGTTTTTTTTCCTTCAAATTTTTTCAGGGCCACAATTGATTAACTAACTACCCGGACTCTGAATTTCATGGTCATTGAAAAACTGTGAAATTACCTTCTATAAGCCCAAACTTGAGTAAACATTGAAGATTTTTAGCGTTTTGGCTGAGTTTGTGCTTTGGGAGTTGTCTATTGTTTCTATAGTCTGTCATGATACAGCATTCTTGTTCAGCACGCGTGCAATTACCGCGCTTGGCTGAGTTCCGAATGCTTACCTGGATATGATAATTTTGGTACAGTGGGACAGGCCATCGCGTGATACATAGAGGTTTAACTCACAATTTTTAATCAATTCTCGTGCTTCTTGTGCCTTTGCAAAAAAGTCAAAAAAGTGCTGCACACTAAATCTACTTACTATTAAAAAAAATATCATTTTTTCATAGGTTTAATTCAAGCCAATAATTAAACCAACTCGTGACGGGAATCCCTTCTATTTTCTTATACTAAATTATCATATCTAGGTGAGCATTCGGAAGTCAGCCAAGCGTGGTCATTGCACGCGTGCTGAACAAGAATGCTGTATAATGACAGGCTAGAAACAATAGACAACTCCCAAAGCACAAACTCAGCCAAAACGCTAAATGAAGGTATGAAGGTATCTTAAACGTTGACAAACGTCAACAAATAGCTAAAACTATAATTTCTATATGTTTGCTTTGCTCGAAATGGCGCGCATTTACAAGCCCTAAAGCGTTTTGCTGACTTGCAAGGACCCATCTCTTATAACGATGCCCAAAATACAGAGATGAATCTCATAGTTTATTAGATATAATCCGTGTAAAGTTTGCTTATCATTTTCGCATAAATTATGACCTAAATTTGGAAACCGCTGAATTTCTCGAATTGGGTCTTTGCGATTTTGGTGAAACTCTGTTCAGCGCAAGGCACTAATACGCACTATCATTATTCTATTTAAGCGCGCGTATTATGTACATAACTTAATACAACAGTGCATGCATGAATTATTTACCGAAAAAGTTATGGCTTCGTTAATATTTTTGTTTCCTGCTTCTGGCGTGGTAGTGAACGCATTTCTTTTCTTTCGAATGTTCAAATCTTGGAACATCAGTGCGTCCAGAGGCTTAAAAAACGTGATTTCCTTCCTGTTGTTTCTGAACATCTGCAACATCATTACTCACGTGGCCATGGTTGTCTCAAAGCGCCAGGTCTGGATGGCTCTTGCCACAACATTCTCATTCCAGACGATATATTTCTTCGCAGCCGTCGAACTTGCCTCAACTCTCGGGAGCTTTTTAGAACGCAAACTTAACTCGTTTCTGAATATTGCTACTTTGTTTTTCATCTCAGGCGGTTTGTCAAAGGTCTTTGGGCGCACGTACGAACTTTGTGGAGCCATCAACTGCTTTTCTTACAACTCGGAACAGAGTCTTAGTCCAGAAGTTGGGGGCATTCTTTTAACAAGCTGCTTGGTTCATTTTTTGGTTCCATCCTCGGTTCTTCTATTTGGCTCCTTTTACAAGGGCTTTCACTCCTGGGAGCGAAGAAAGGCTGTGGATGCAAATATAAGTTTCTCAAGACGTTTAGCTCGCCTGTTGACCAATACTTCATCAGCGCTTTTCATTTTGTACGGGACGTTAGTCGTCGAAGTAACGCTGTATTTTACGGAAGTGAATCAAGCAGTGCAATCTAGTATGCATATGTGTAGAGTAAATTGTCTCTATGAAGAGTTGTTTCTCCTACTTTCGATGTTCCCAGTCAGTTTGTTCGCCAAGTCTTTGAAGCAGAACGAAGGAACTCGAGATATTCTTTTCTGAGGATTTAGACCGGCGGATAATCTCAAAAGTACGAAATTAATACTTCAGTATTTGTAATGCTTTTGCAAAATTGTAGACTAGCTTTGTTAAGTTTGAACTAATCAATGTCTCCCATACTTCTTAACAAGGTCATCTCAAATTCAGAGCTGTTGAATACCGAACTGATCGAGCCATACATACTTTATAACTTCAAAACGTTTTTTCAATTCAAAGTAGACAGACTGCAAATTATAGTAGTTGCTAAAAAATATATCTACCTGTCCCAACTGTTCATCAGTAGGATGCCTAAAATGCGTGCAATTCTTCAATTGGTTTCGGCTCCATTAAATCCTATCGGCCAATTGCAGAACATTTTAGGAGGAGCCACCCACCGTGTGAGCACAGTCGCGGACAACACATATAAGTGAGGAAAACAACGCAAAGCAAAACTAAGACGTTATTAAACGAATTACACCTTTTGCTGTTCATTACGAGAAAATACGCAATCATTTGCGTGAAACGGCGATCAATTGCGCGAATAAACATTCATTAGCGCGAAAATACGAACATTTGCCCATAAATCCGATTCAATAGCGATTTTTGCATTTTAATCAACATTCAATAACACTTTTGGGCATTCATATGCGTCATTCGGCATACAAAAGAGAAAAATATACTTTCATTTGCGCTAGTATGCAAGTCATTAACACCATCTCGAAAGTCAATAGGGACAATAAACAAACATTAAAGTGAAAAAACCATTTATTAACATTTCTGTCACACTGTTTGCGATTCAATAGCTCTTTCCAGTGGTGTTGACACGGATTTTTCCTAACTGGTCCGTGTCAAAAGTTGAAAAAGCCGTGAAAAGGCCTATTAGCTAGAAAGTGAAAAGGGATAAGTCAAATCCAAAAACATATACCGTGTCAAAGCTAAGAGCCATGGTAAAGGGAAGAAGCACGGAAAGGGCCACCATCAAAAAGGCAGCACGCTATAAAGCATAACACAGAAGACTTTCGTAAGTACTCAGCTAGGAACTGAACTCTCCATCCCTGTCAGCTGGGAACTCCACACCGTGAATGGTTCAAAATGGCCGGTAACTGATCCCAAGAAACTGTGTTCCCACTAGTTCTCCAGAGTGGTTTAGGGCCCCGTCCACACGCACGAATCAGGAGAAAACAAATTGCGGTTTCAAAAATGTCCGGATTCGTGTGACTCGCACTGATTAAAGAGCAGCGATCAAAACACCTTAATTTTAAGTTCTCTGCTCCTTCGATTCAATCCATGGTTTAAGTTCCTTATTATTGTTACTTCGATGTTTCCCATAAAAAAAATAAAGTATGATTTCTTAAAATTTGCTGCCAGTACGCGAAGCGCGAAATAAACAATGCGGTTTGGCACCTCGTCTGTTCAGTTTTTGCGTCACCCCTCACTACTGGGTTCTCCCTTTCACCAGTCAACTCAGTATATCTCCTACCCACCCCTGAAGGTATCGCCTCGTGCCACTCTTACACTTTTTTCGTGCCAAACAACCCCCCACATGAGCCGTTTGCCATTTGTATAAGTAATATATGCATAAGTAATTATTATTATTATTATTATTATAAGTAACTTATTATGCATAACACATGCATAACATATGCATAAGTAATTTTGCTTTACTGGAAAAGGGTAAGGAAGGCTTTTGATAGGAACGAGTTGCTTGACATAAAAATAAAAATAATAATAATAATAATAATAATAATAATAATAATAATAATAATAATAATAATAATAATAATAATAATAATAAAGTGTAGTTTCCTTTTTTTGGCGTCATTTTGGAAATGGCAGTTTTGGAGCCCGGAAATTGCCCGATAAAAACATCCTTAGTGATCCTTGGTACTGAACAACAGGATCGCACAAGATTGCATCGAAGACTTTGTACTTCGCCTCGTTTTGAAAAAGAAGCTAGTGGAAAGTACGTGATGTTAAAGAAAAACAAGCAACGTCTTCGGGCCCATTATATTAGGGAGGGCGGAATCTCAGATACACTCTCCTTTTTTAATTCCTATTTTAGTCGACTAAAATAGTTAAATACGGCATTCGATTTTTATCGTCTCTGAACTTCGTCGAATTTTAACTCTGTTCACTGTCAATATTCTAAGTAATATAATAATATTCATGCATTAAGTTCGGCACATGTGAAATGCGACTTTTGAATCAAAAGTCGAACCTAAGTCGAATCTTCGACTGTTTCAGTCGCAGACACGGCAAACTTCGCATTTAATTTAAACAGTCGAATTTAATTGATTCAAACCTCGCACTTCACATGCATTTAACTGTCGCGTTAAGTTCGGCACATGTGAAATTCGACGTTTGAACCGGGCCTTAGTCGTCTGACTAAATAGGATAATAGACCGGCCTCTGTTATGACACAATTATCTTGAACCTTTTACCGGGGAGACCTTTTCACTGCCCTGACTTTAGTGGCAGAGCGGAGCTGCGACCGAAGACTCTTGAAAGTGGTATCTCTGTGACGAGTGTTGTCATTGTACCGTGTCGGCTTCGAAGCTGGCAGAACTATACTAACCAGTATTACAGTTATATTTACCAAATCAATGGATTGCAATTTTGGCGCGTTTTGATTGGCTCCCGTAACTGGGAATATGCATCGAACCTGAGGGGGGTAGTTGTTTTAGTATTCATCCGTGTAACTTATCAAAGTCATTTAAAAATGTAATTAATCAAAGACATTACTTAGTAAGGGCTTTGTGAACGAAGGAGTGACGAGAGAGTTATCATCTGCACATGTACGTATAAGGCGTTATATAGCATGCTTAAGGGACAGACGAGAGCTGGACAACGTCTGCCTGTCTGCCTGAGCATCACTACAGCTGTTCCTTATATAGAATGTTTTCACATGACGTCACGGCGGCCATATTGGTGTCCCAAAGCAATGAAACGGCGGCCATTTTGGTGTCCCAAACCAGTCCTCTGGGAGTTGAACTCTTTTCTTATGCAAACGCTTTCTTTTGTTCCAATAAATTTGCGTAGATGCTGGCCACGTGAGTGAAAACACTCTATAGTTCTCGCCTGGTTATTGACATCGAATGGTACAAAGTTGCCTTTTCAGATATTTGTCTTAAAACTGAGATGATATCAACCTGAGATTAGGCCCAATTTTAGCAGTTGTCATAAATTCTCTCTTACGTGGT